GAACCGGCCGCCCGCTGCATCCCCGGGCTCCGCATCCCCCGTTCCGGTGACCGTTCCCTCTGCCCACCCCCTCCAGGTGTTCTACAACGGCGCCAACGTGAAGCAGGTGGACGTGCCCACGCTGACAGGCTCCTTTGGCATCCTGGCATCCCACGTGCCCACACTGCAGGTGCTGCGGCCGGGGGTGGTCACGGTGTACGCCGAGGATGGAACAGCCACCAAGTACTTCGGTGAGCCGGGAGGGAGGGAGGGAGCGTGGGGACAGTGCTCTCAGTGCCTTCTCCAGGTGTGCCCCGGTGCACTCCAGGGGTTCTGCTCCCCCAGCCTGGCAGGGGAGCCAGGACTCTGTGTGAGGCTGCAGACTGGGCTTGTGTCTTGGTTCTGCTCAGGCGCTCGGAGCATCTTCTGCTCCTGCTGCCCTTGGAGTGGGAACCAAGTCTCTGAACGTTGGGAACACAGCGGGAGGGTTTGTTCAGGAAAGGTGTGGTGGGAATCCCAGGGACAAGCCCTTCGGCCGTGCCTGACCCTGCGTTGTGCCCCACAGTGAGCAGTGGCTCCGTCACCGTCCACCCTGACTCCACGGTGCAGGTGCTGGCGGAGGAGGCAGTGACCATTGACATGCTGGACCTGGCTGTGAGTACCCAGAGCCCGTGGGCAGGCCCTGGGCTCCCTCCCCAGGGGGGATTTGCTCCCCAGTTCTCTGCTCTGGGTGCTTGTCTTGGGAGTTTCCCATGCCCAGACCAGGGACTGTGCCTGCACACCCATCACCCAGGTCAGGGGCTCGGGACTCCAGAGGGAGGGAGGAGTGCAGTCATAAACCTTCCCCAGGCCACCTCCCACCCCACGGACAGAACTGACCTTGTTCCCAGCCCTCTGGGGCTCCAGAACAGCTTTTCTTTGTCGATAAGGTGTCTGGGGCCAGCGCAGCTGCGTCAGTGGCTCTGTAGGGCAGTGGGTCCATGGGGCATCATGTGTGGGCTCAGTGACTGTGGTGGACAGAGGGAAGGGGAGAGGAGGGAGAGAGGTGACTCGAGGGTCACAGGACAGTCTGCTCTCCAGTGCCATCTCCCAGTGACACACTCCTTGTGCCCTTGTGCTCAGACTGCAA